GTACACATAGTACAGAACCAAGAGAAAACAGTTCCTCTGCTCTAGTCAGTCCATAGAGAGAAATCAGGCCCCAGGCTCCCCTTACCACCGGATGTCAGGACACAGCCAAGGATTTTGGTGATTCCAGCCTGTAGGGTGAAGAAAGCCTTTTCTTCCCTCCACCCTCCCTGTCATCTGGCTTCTCCAGATTTCTAGGCAATTCACCTCAACACAGCCCTCTGGGTAGCTCTTGCTCTAATGCTCAGTTAATAGTTCTCTGTTTCAGGCACTGTCCAAATGCATCCTATAAATCAGAATCCAATTACCGTGGTAAGAAAATTGGAAGCAAATTTAATATGCTCAGACCCCTCCCACATGCTGTTTCTTCACTCTTCCCTGTTCAATAATGAGAACTCTTCAAAGAAAAAGGCCTTTTTCCTTTAACTGTCTGCTCTCTCCATTCCTCATATGAGACCCCTGAGGGGTCAAAGAACAGTGAGAGGGTGCTTCTTTAAGTTCCCTTTAAGTGCACGGAAGGCAGGTGAGAGAGAGGGTGGTCAATGGTCTTTCCAATCTGTCTCTTTTATTTGTTCGACAGATAATTGAATTCTTATCACACACCAGGCACTGTAGTAGATATTCAATGTGCTCCTTACCCTATGGGGAGATTGATATAACTAGTAGGACCTTTTCTGCAAGGCAGGATGGGACTACAAAGTGGCTAAGCATGAACAAAGCCTGTATCAAAGGGATCGAGTGCGTTCCATGAATGAGCAAGTTGCTCAATGCAGGTGAATGGCGATGGGTGCTGCATGACATTGCAGTAGAAGCTGCTTAGTGCAGGTGGTGTCACTTGCCAGGAGGAGGGCAGGAGGAGGGTGGTAAGTAAAAGTATTGGGAAAAGAGAACTAGAGAGGCTAGTCTCCACAAGGCCAGAGACTGAAGACATGACACCTGGACAGAGGGAGAGGGATGTGGGCAGATGGGTTGGTTTATGCCAGGACCTCTACTTGTTACTTAAACCCTGAGCTTTTCATCTAGATATGAATTTTATCTGGGCCACAAAACAAACCACTAATGGCTAGCCAGTGCTTTGTGGTTTCCAAATGAGCATGCATAGAATCACCCGCAGTTCTTGCTAAGCTAGATCGTTGGCATCCACCCCAAGAGTTTTGTGGGTAAAGCCTAAGAATGTACATTTCCAACATGCTCCCAAGTGATGCAGATGTTGCCAGTCTTCTAGTTTGGAAAACCACACTTTGAAATTCATTGTTGTGAGTCCTTGCTATTCAAAATTTGATCCACAGATGGTCGGCATTGCTATCACTAAGGAGCTTCTCAGGAATGCAGAATCTCAGGCCCCATCCCAGATCCACTGAATCAGACTATAAAGAATCCTCAGATGATTTGTTTAAGTTTGAGAAGCACTTACCTAAAGCAGAGGTCCTCAAGTCTTGCTGCTCATTAGAGTCACTGGAGAGCTTAGAAAGGACACACTTGAGCTGATTGGAGTCTGGGTATCAACATGCTTTAAAGGCTCTCCAAGTGCTCCTCATAAGAAACCTCGATTGCAAACAGCTAAGACTGATGCTTACAACCAACATGCCACACCATCTGCATTTTCACTCACTCTCATTTCTCTGGCCTTGAGCCTGACCTTGAAACCCACCTCTGTTCTTTCCAACCCCCACTGTCATATCTGACAGCTCAGTAATCTTCATGCCTCTTTCTGCTTGTTGGACTGGTGCTGCCTTAGTGTGTCTAAGCACCTCTGATTTTCCACCGGAGCATTTCTTATCCACACGAAGCTCCAGCACTGGCCTGGCCACATGCTCAGCCATCGTAGCACAGTAGCTATAAAATAGGCCAATATTTTATATATTTTTATTTGATCCTTATAAAAAAATTATGTAGGATAATTGCTGTTATTTTATCCATATTTTTCAAAAGAAGAAACCAAGGTATAGAGAAACTGGGAGAGTTACTGAGTCCATTCATCTTTCCAATAGCAACACCAGGACAGGAAATGGTAGTCTAACCCAAGACCCTGTTCTGATCTGACCCTCGTGACTACATACTTCCACTTCACCCCAGAGAAGGTCTGGCCTGACCTATTGCTGGTGATGGGTTGATGGTACATCTTTTCATTTTATCTTTGAGAATTTAGGTAAAAAAAAATAAGGCCAGATTTATAGCAACAATTTTCAGTGCAATTTTGTCCTCCCAAGGACATATGGCAAAGTTGTTTTTGGTTGTCACAACTTTGTGTGTGTGTGTGTGTGTGTGTGTGTGTGTGTGTGTGGTGGAGGTGCTATTGGCATCTAGTAAGTAGAGGCCAGAGAAGCTGCTAGAATCCTGTAATCCACAGAACACCCTCAAAACAAAGTATCATCCAACCTAAAATGTCAGCAGTGCTGCTGTTGAGACCCCCTTGGTCACATTAGCTACACTGGTAACAACCGAGGCAGGCAGGCCTAAAAGTGAGACCCAGGGTTCTGTTGGTTCAGGTGCATAAGCCCTAGGGCTTGCATCGGGATGAAATCAGTATCAGCAGGGAGACTGCATTCAGCAGGGTTAGAGGTTAGGGTTAGAGGATATAGCTGGTGATTCCAGCCACATAACTCTAATTTCCCTATGAAGAAAGGGCTGGATGAGAGAGATCATATAACTAGAAGGACACTACCCAAGTGCTGTTTAAGTGAGGAACATGGGCTTTCCTAGCAGCCCCTGAGGGTCTCATGACCACAACAGTGGCACCAGCAGAGGGCAGCACTCTACTGAGCTCAGCTTGGAGCTGGATGATCCCAAGTGGTACCTGCCATGGTACCAGCCTAAGGCTTTGCACTCAGTAAATGCTCCAGGCCCCCAAGATGACGGCTGTTCCTAGGCACTCATCCCAATTCTGAGTCCTCTGACTTATCTGCTCTTTTGGAGAAAGTTCCCTAACTCCAGAATTCTGAGTGGCACACCTCCAGCTCCTGCAGGGCAAGGTTGTTACCCCGAGGCAGACATATGGCTGATATGCTTTCCCTTTTTGTCTTCCCAAAGAATGTATGAATTCTGTCTCAGTCGTCTCTGCCCTTCTTGCTGCACTCCCAGCAGATCATAGCTCATTAACAGATGGAGCCCTGGGTAGGTGCTGGGCCCAGAGCTGGCTGGTGAGCTGGGTTCTTTGGGGACAAGATCAGTTCTTCATTGCTTACCATCTCAAGTCTGGTCTTTGTAAAATATTCATTAATGCCTTGCAGATCAGAGAAAAGTGAGAGTGCAGGAATCAGTCCTATTCTGGGTATCTCTGTGTGTTCACCTGTTTGATGAGATGCTGGTGTCTCCCTCCTGTGGGTGAGAGCCGTCACCCAGATGTACCAGCAGCTTTTCTGACTAGGGGGTGCTCCTTTTCCTTCCTGAGGGCCTACTGTCTGGAATTGAGACAAGAAAGGAGCTACCAGCAGGGCTTCTCAGTCTCCCATCTCCCTCCTCTTGCCTGCTCTCCCACACATAGTTTCTGTTCAGAGAGAACTACAATAACTTAATATTTAAAATTTATTTAAAATTCACTCAGAAGCAGGTAATAGGATAAGGACTTGGGAATTTAAATAGCAAGTAATAAAAAAGAATTTCAACAGGACTCTGACTTTAAAAAGGTTTCCATCTAGTAGGAAGGAGGAGAAATGGTCCAGGCCCTGGACCTCTGGTGGTAGAGGACACAGGAACTGAGACCAAGGCACAGTTTCATGGTACCTCATGAGGAGAGTTAAGTTCACAGATGGCCAGAGTTTGCAGAAGCCAGAATATCATACAGTTCATACCCTTTCTGTATTAACGAGGACACTGAGACTCCAGCTCCTTGTAGCAATGATAGTGACTGACAAGGACTGGTTGACTGCCTCCACAGCATATGTGTGGTGCAAGATAAGGTTTCTATGCTGTGCAACCTAGCTGGGGAAACTGAGTCTGAATGCCTTCACATAGTATAAGCTTAAGAACCACCAGTGTAATTAGCCTCATGAATCATAAAAATCTTTACTCCTCTACACATAAACTGTGTTTTTGCAATGTGTATACCCACAGACCCCCAAAATGATATTGACAAAGCTAAGAGTTCAAAGCTAGTAAGACATCCTCCCAATTGAACTGCCTTCAAGTCCCTTCACCCCAGTGGCTAGTCTGCTGTTGGGACAATTCAAAGTCAGTGTCACGCAACAAATAGAGGTCATCCTTGTGTGGGTCTCTGGCATCTCTGAGCCCCAGTACGGAGGCTGGGAGAGGAAAATGGGGTTAGGACCAACTTTCTTTCTCAGACCTCAGTAGGAAGCACAAGGATGGTCAGGACTAGAGGAGCAATTGGTAACAAGATACAGCATCCACCTTCACAAAGCCTATTTCTGCTGAAACAAAGCTTTCTACATTGTGTCAGGCCCGATTTCTTTTGCTCTGTGGAGGTGTGGTCTACCCAAGGTGGAGGCACTAGGGAAGCTGTGTGAACGGGCCCCTGGGCAGGCAGACAGGGAATCAATGGCAAGTGAAGAGTTCTATCAGCTTCTCTTGGCAAAATGTTCATGGGCTGTCACAGACAGGGTGTCTCCAAATGACAGGAGAGACAGTAACTTGAATTCCCTAGGATGTACCCATCCTGCCCTCCCACATGGAAAGCCAGACTGGGTCATGGGACTTGACCAGGTCCAGACAAAACATTTTTAGTGCTATGTGAGCTCATAGGAAGCATAACCTATGGTGACCACCAGATGAAGTCAGGTGCACCTTCTCTTGTGGGCTTTCCACTCTCTCCAACCTTCCAGTAGGCAGCAGGGGTTTTGGGTTGGCTTATGGCAAAAATCAGTTAAGTAACACAGATCCATTGCCCCATAATGTCCTCTTAGGCTCCAGTGGCAGCAAAAGGTTCACCTACCCCAGTTCCTGGCACTGGCCACAGCACACAGTGGGCTCCTAAATCAAGCCTGCTGTCGATCTGTCCTGGCTGCAGGGAGGAGTTGGGGAGATTGCATGGAAGGAGGAAATACCTCTTATGGCGTGTTTCCGGGACAGCTCTATTGCTGGAGATCCGCTCGCTCTCCCGCTGGTTGAAAGCATACAGTTTGTAGGGATCATCACCAACACGCCACTTTTTGGCATTCAGATACCGCCGTTCATCAAACTGCTCCCATAGGTCATCCCAATCTGCATCAGAAGGCTGTATGACATGAAAGGAGAGTATGTGAGAAGGCTCCCTGACCTCCGTTTAGCCCCCTGTCCAGCTATCAGTACCCAACCAGAGACTAGGCTTGTTCTGGTAATGCTGAGTTCAAAAATGAGGCCTGAGACAGAATATCAGGAAACCCACCAGCAACAATAACCACACATAGAACAGTGACAGTAACTCTACTGACATTTTCTGAGCACTACATACCAGGTTCTGTTCTAGGACCTTCACTCCCATGATCTCATGTAATTTGTTCAGAATTGCTCATAATCCTACCTTACACATGAGAAACGAGCCCCACTGATAAGTAACTTGCTCAAGATCCAGTTAGGAGATGCTCCGACCTGAATTCTAGTGTCCTGACCTGAGAGAACATCTCCCTAAAGCAGTTTGAGAACTCCTGGCACAGTGGCTTGGCACAGATTAGGTAAATCACAGCTGTCACTCTGTCCTTGTCTGCTTTAGGAAAGGCATTGGAAGTAGGCAATCCATCTACAATGGTGTGTGACCCACCAGATACTCTAGTCCTTTCTTTCCCCAACCCAAGAACCTGTAACTACTCTTAGGAAGATCAATCGGAGAGCAAGCAAGGAGCCTCACTGTGTATGTATATGGATGTGGATGTATGTGGATGTGGATGTAGGTGGAAGCAGGACTTCAGAATGTGGAAGGTGGCTTCTATATTCATGATTTCATTCATACTCACACAAACCCCCTAGGGAAAGTAGGGAAGGTAGGACCTTAGAAAAGTCCTAATCTGCCTGAGGTCAAACCTTGGCAAGCCACAGATCTCAAGGCAGAGTTCAGCCTTCTTAGGCCTCGCCAGTGGGAGAGGTGATGGGGCTATCTCAGCACCAGAGCCCAAGCTGCCTAGTATACCCCACTAGCACGAACTCCACAGCCAGCAGAGACTCTCCCCTCAGCCAGCAGGGCTGATCATCCTGGCCTTGACCTTAGGAAGCTAGATCTTTGCATTTGACAGTCACTCCCCACAAGATGTTACCACTCTCACCCTGGGGAAGAACAGTCTATACCCACAAACACCCAAACTTTTCAAGTTCATCTAATTCATGAATGCTGTGTCTCTAGGTGGAACTTTCTGGTGGGCTTCTGACCTGGAATGAGGTGGCTAGAGTCCTGGGGTTGGAATTGTTACCCAGCATAAGTTTTTCATTCGTGTGACTCCACTCATCAGTCAAGTGTCTTACACTGTCCAAGTCTTAAAGGAGAGGAGAGCAGCCACCCTGGTATAGAATTTCTTTTCTTCTTGCACATGAGCACCTAAGCAGGAAGGTGCAGGGCAGGCTCAGCAGTCAGCTGCACAGGCGCTCGGGCCCCATGACAGGTAAGGGGGGCCGTACCAGTTTGCACAATCATCTCAGGCACCACACGATCTTATCTGGTAATTGATCTCTCTCTTCCTCTTTGTTATCTCCTTCTGAAACAGCATTCTCCTGCTAATAGCATAGAAATGAAGCACTGGAAACCAGTGATTTTTGTCCAATAATTGATTTTATTAGCATCTTGTGATTCTACTGCTACAGAGCATGCTAAGGGGAACTCAGGTGGGGGTGTGAAACCCACAGCCTGTGATGCACAATGTCACAGCCTGTCAGCTGTCATCTCTGGTTGGAACATCACCCCAGGGCGACCCTGACATCACATCCCCAGGGAAGGGCCATGGAACTGTCTCCTACTGGCTCATTGCCAATTTAATTCATTGCAATTATCTAAATAAGTTGTAAGCCCTCACAGTGCTCCAAGCTAAAGAGGAATGAGGAAGAGACAAGGTTCCCTTTTCTGTAGAATGCTGCAAGAGCACAGAGAGGCATACATAGAGGTATCCATGCCATACTACGAGGTGAGTTCAACCACATAAGCTCAGTGATAATTATGGAAAAGCACAGAGGAGTGGAGGAAGCAGAGAACAGCTCTTCAGATGAGAGTCAGAAGAGTTAGACCTTGAAGAGTGAGTAGAAAGTATGCAGCAAAGAAGCCAGATAGAAGGTAGCCCATTCAACAGTGTGGCATAGAATAACAGAGCCAACAGTATGCATTTATGTGCAAGTTTATATAGAGCCAGGTCTGGTGGCACAGACCAGTAATCTCAGCTATGCAGAAGGCTGGCTGAGCATATGCAAGCCCTTAGGTTCAATTCATTGTATGAAAAAGAAAAGGGTTTAGAATGTATAAGGAATTTACTCATGTGGCTATGGAGGCCGACAAAATCTATGGTGGTCATACTAAAGATCCAGAAAGAGCTAAATTTTCCATTCAAGTATAAATCAGGAAAAGCAGTGTTCCAGCTCAAAGGCAGTAGGGAGGAAGGAGCTCCTTTTTAGTGTCACAGTTCTCTACAGACCTTCAGGGAACTGGATGGAGTGGCCCACAGTGGGAGGGCAGTCTGCTGCCTTCATTCTCCCAATTCAAATATTAATCTCACCCAGAGTCATTCTCACAAACATGCCCAAAATGATGTCTGAACAAGTGCCTGGGTAGCCTGTGGCCCTGTCACATTGCTATAAAATTAACCATTATAGACAGGAAGTAGAGAGGCAGAGAATCTGTCCAGGGAATGATTAGCACAGAAAAGGAAGGCTGAAGTATGGATTGTACAGAGGATATGAATGAAGGAAAATGCTGGAACACAGCTGGATCTTAGAAACTAGGCCTTGGGAAAATGTCTCTAGCTTCATGTGTGGGATAGAGTGACAGGAAGAGAATTTCCATAAAATGGCCAGTTGGGGCAGTGACCCTGATAATGTACTCTGATGTCTTGCTTCTAAAGAAGCAGGTGGAGGCCTAGGCATCCATGGCAACCAGAGGCTGAAGAGAGGGGGTGTAACCCACTTCTTGGGCTTTGTTCCAGGTTCCACTCCATTCATATCAAACAGAGGCAAGGGGCCAAGGGCATGTGGCCAGTGGTTGCTTGGCCTAGCTCTCTCTACCCACAGGGCAGCTGAGCATCCCTGGCATCTCTGGCAGGCACTGCCTTTTTGGAGAAGGTACTATGAAGACTCAGCAAGAATTCTGGCTCCAGAAAGTCAGAGCAACAGCCAGCTGGCAGGATAAATCACATGAATAGACAGTAGGACATGACCTTGGAGGGGACTGTTCCCCTCGGGTTGTCACACGTACAAAACTCATTCACAACTTGCTACACTGAGACCCCTTGACGGGGACAGCCTGTACTGGGAGCTGGTCTTTCCCATAGTGACATCTGAATGTATCACATAAAGTGGAGGGATGCTTAAAATGAAAACATTGACATTTTATGTTGCACAAAGATTGCCACAGATTCCTTACATGATCCCCATTTTTGTAGGGAGGGTTCAGCTTAGAGGCGTTAGGTAGGTGGCTTGCCCAAGCTCATCATCTAGCAAGGGCTGGATTTACTAACTTAATCCTCCTTCAGAAGCTTCCCATCAACACAGACAGACAAGGAGAGTAAAAGATCTACCAAAGGGCCAACTGTTTTGGTCCAGTTGGAGTCAGATGGGTTCAGCAAGGGATTTGCACAGCCTATGGAAGACCTTCCATATTGGGGCAGTGCCTTCCATGGAAGCTTACTTCCATACCAAACATGCATAAACAGAGATGTTCTGTGAAATGCAGTCCCCAGGGTGATGCCTGCCACACACTATTTATACCCTATTTTATTTTCACCCTTCTCTCCTGCCTTCATCATGTCCCACCTAAGGGCTTGCCTCTTAATAAAATCCAGTATGTCGCGTGGCCCAGACATCGGTGTAGGAAAGTGTTTGACTTCGTTTAGGTACTTCTTCAAGGCCATACACACTCCCAAAGGTCCCTTCTGTCTCTGGCTTTTCATCCCTGTTGGAGACAGGACTAATATCAACTGGGGCTGCATGTGTCTTACTGGTGGCAAGACAACTATGTGTAAGGCCATCTCCTACTCCTCAGCCTTGTCACCTCTGTCCTAGTGCAGTAGGGTGTGCTCTGTCTTGCTTGTCCCTACACTAAAAGCATGCACCAGGCTTATCTCTACCAGCCCCCTCTTCTAAGAGTTTGGATGAGTCCATTTGGAGTTTGCCCCACTGTCTTCCCCCAGCCCCTGGGTCTAGAGCTCAAATGAAGAAACAGGATGCTTTACTTCATCCTTGGAAATTTCATAGTCTCCAAAAATGGCTTTTACAAAAGTCTTGCCTTAGCCATTGGAAGATACTTGCTTGCCTGAGTAATGACATGGATGATGGGTTGTTCCCATCTTTGCTGATTCTTGAATGTATTCCTATAATAGACAGGGCTCTCCAAAAATGCTCTCTCTCTCTCTCTCTCTCTCTCTCTCTCTCTCTCTCTCTCTCTCAGAGAAGAGAGGGAAAGGAAAGTGAAGGAAGCTGGTTTATTTTAAGGAAGTGGCTCATGTAATTATGACTTGTAGCCTAAGATCAAAAGCTGTCTCCGCCAGCAGAATTCCTTCTTGTAGAGGGAGGTGGGGAATGGTGGTCAGTCTTTGTCTAAGGTTTCCAACTGATTGGGTGAAACCCAACCACATTATAGTTTTTATTTTATTCAAAGCTCACCAGTTTAAATGTTAATGTCATCGAAATTACCTTTAAAGAAACATCCAGAATAATGTTTGACCAAGTATCTACGTCCTAGCAAGTTGTATATAAAAGCAGCCATCACAACTGTTTGTCACAACCTCAGAATGAAGCAGTGAGTGAGGAGTGCCTCAAATTACTTCAGATCCTCACAGGCCTAAAATTCCAGCAATTATGTCCCTAATTTTAAAATGAGGAAACAGTGTGAGGGGGTTGAAGAATCTGCCTAGGTGTGTAGAAGGGATGCCTTCCAGGTCTGCACTAACCCCCCACTTTCCAACAAACACTGTTTCTAAGCTCGCTCTGTGGGCACTGGAGTCCCACCTGCTCACACCAGGCTGTTTCCAAACACCGAAGCCTCTGGTACTCCAGCTCTACCCAGGCTGCTTCTGTTTGCCATCAGCTGGACGCTTCTGCTCCTAGCAC